CGTCTGCATTAGGTTTTTGAAGTAGGTAGGTTTTGAGTCATGCAGACCTTGAAAATGCAACCTAGTTCAAATTTCAAGGGGAATATGTTCAATATTCTGTTTTGGAAAAAAACTCTGAGTCAAATGTTTTGTGAACGAATTTCTTAAGTATACAAAATGTAACATTTATATATTACTACTGAATCTAATCTCAAAATAATAGATTTTTTGGAAATGACTCCGGAAATGTTTGATACTAACCAAAGAATGGAAAAAAGATACGTAGAAAATACCGTAAATCGACCTTCATCAGGCTCCATTTTAATAGTATTGGACAAAATATTAAATAATACATAACTGGAAGTAACGATCCAAAACCATCATTTTGTGTAGAATCGAATGAACCAAAACCGCCAAAATGTCCGAATGCGCCGTCTTCATTTGAAGGAAATTCAAATGCCTGTTCCTCTTGTTGTCGACCATTAGTAGGATCTGCAAACAAAAGGCATTTGTTAAAGTGCGAAATGCACAACACAAAGGATGGTTGATCATTTTTAAGAAACCAAGAATTCGAAAATTCGAATTCACAACCTCTCTTACACAGAATCATGTTTGCTTAAGTCAAGGACGTACTCGCAAAGGATTGGCGTCCGGTCCGTGGGCAGACCGCCCAAGTAGATAGAACCGTTGCCTGCTTCACCCAGGAAGATGAGCGTAGGAGGCTCTGGGGCGCCGCTGGCGCCAGCGGTCCCGTGCCGCTGCATCAAAGGCCGCGTCATTCGCCTCCTGCAGGTGCTGAGGCCGCTCCGGCGACGGTTGCAGCACTGAGGGCATGGCCTTGACTTTGGGGGTCGAAGGTGGCGTGCTTGAAGGGCCTGCTGCTGCCGAAGATGAAGATGCCCGAGGTGAGGTCGACGGCAAAGGTGGTGGTGCCCGCAAAGATGGAGTAGATGCCGAAGCTGATGAGGGCGAAACCACAGGCAGCATAGGTGGCACCTTTGGCGGAGGTGCTTTGGGCGGCGTCACCGGTTGGGCGCTACAGCCCTGGGTGGCGGCTCCACCCGTGCCCGCTTCGCCGGCCGCGAAGGACTGGTGAACGAAAATGTTGACACCGTGTTCCTCGGCCCCTGTGTGGGCTCGGTCACCGGGCCGGCAGCCGCGGCTGGGGCCGGGCGCTTCCGCCTGAGCGCGGCAGTGAGGCGTTGGCCGGTAGCTCGAATGATCTGGACCTGGGCTGGCAGCAAGGTCTTGACCACAGGCATGCCAGGGATGGAGTCCGTAGAAACTCGGCGGATCTGGGGGTCAGAAGCAAGGAGCTCGTCAGCCTCCTCCATGCAAGTGGACCATCGTGCAGAGGCATAGCCTGTCGGCAGTTCGTCCCACAAAGCCATGTTGAGGTCCTGGAAGAAGCGCAAACCGGCCAAGCGCAACTGGTGTCCCAGGCGTTGTTTCCGTGAGTCATATCGCAGAGGGGTGGTAGCCGTAGACTTGGAGGACTGATCCACCCATTGTCCAAGAGCGAGTCGCTCTGTCTCTGATAGCCCCACATACCCTGCCAAAGTCGGAAGCACTCGGCGGAACGAGCAGGACGAGAGGCTGGTAACGTCCATAGCCGCACTCAGGTATGGTCGTAGGATCCGGACACACTGCGCTGTACCCACCGGCTGGGCTGTAGCAGAGTCGAACCCCAACCAATGCCAGCCTGAAACCGGCGCCTGTTCTGGGGCGCACTTTGTTCAGATGGGTACCCAGCACTTGTAGGAGGTCCAACGTGCCACAATACCGTGGAACGCTCCAGGCGAAGCCGCCACGACTGCCAGTCTTACCTTTCGTGCACCAGAACACGAGGATGCCCCCGTTACCGCCGACCAAGTAGCTCCTTTGCAAATGGGTGTACCTGACCACACCAAAACATAGGGCGTAGGCACAAAACACCATGGGCCAGTGAGGATTGTCAACGGTGGATTCCAAGGTACCCAACAGGTGGATGACCATAGATGGTTCCAAAGTCGCCGCCTGCGCCTGCCCCTGGCCGAGGCGAGATCCCAAACCAGCCCGAGGTTTCACCACTTCGGAGAGGTCAAATGGCAACTTGAGGTTGCGGACGATCCACCCCAGAGCTGTATATGCCCTTGTAGGTGACTTGTGCTCCCGAATGAAGGTGGCCAGGAGGTGTTTGTCCGGGATACCTCCACCTGCGGCCGCAATGGCCCCTTGAAGCTCTTGCCACGTGTGCAAAGCCCGTTTCACAGTGGCGGCCTCCGCCTTCTGGAGCACATGCGTGAGCTTTGCCTCGAAGTTGGCGGTGATCTCAGCCAAGCGAGCCGCCGGCGGGGGCTCGACCGCCAGAAGAATGGCCATCAACTGGGGCAAGAAGGTCAATGCACCGCCGTCAGGGCCGCCCGACTGACGGCCCTGGGTGCTGGGCCGGACTGGCCCTGCAAACGATGGGGTAGGTCGTGGCCTCAACGGCGGAGATGTGGTAGGCCGCGGCGCAGCTTGCGAAACTTGTTCGCGGCGAACGATGTCTCGCACCAAGGCCCCAGCGCCCAGCTCCGCTTCGCGGCGCGCCTGGTCCCAGGCATCCGCCACAGCGCGGCCCTGCTTCAGCGCTTCTTCGTAGGTAACGAAGTAAAACGCCAAGTCGGAGGGCCGTTCAATCCCATGGGCAGCGCACCACCGCTCCAGCTTCTGCTGTTCAGCAGAGCGGCGGATTTGTGCGTCAGCGCTTTCCATGGCGTCCGAAACGGGAAGAAAAAGTTTAGCTTGAGGTACCAGCAGCGACACTGCTCCTCAAGGGGCGTCTCCCCAGTTTGGCTTGAGCATTCAAACATTGGGAGACGTTGATTCGAAGCTTCCCAAATAATTCATCATCACCGACCCTGCCTACCTTAAATGATTGAATACACACTGTCCACCCAGTCTCGACCGGGAATTGGACCCAAGGGACTTCACGTCTCGATGAATGATCTTCAACTTGTGAAGAAAGGCCACAGCACCGGTGACCCCCAACATGGCTTTAATGACCTCGGAAAGGGCGGAGACAGTCGTTCACCGGTCGGGAACGACGAGCCGGCGCAAGGGACCAACGATGGGTTGATCTAAGTGGAAGTGGGGCACAAGCGGGGCGAGTCCTCTGGGAGCTTTTTTTCCAAGCAAAGTCTCTACAAGAATTCCGACTGGGTTGACCAGTGCGACCGTGCCACGGATCCTTCTTCCAACATGCGTTTTGCTTCAACGTGACGTTGGAGGTCATTTCCTGGGCACACACGTGTCTGACAGTTTAGGACTTCCGTCGGCCTGTTGACTCATTGACTAGCTTCTTGCTACTAGTAGAGAGAGAAGCCTCCACCTAATAGCGTCCTTGCTCCGTTCGTAGCGAGGCCAGGAGCCCCTAGTAGCGTCCTTGCGACTAAAACTTTATGGAGTTTATGAATCATGGTCTGCTTCATCCGAGCAGCCACATTCTAGTTCTGTTGCCATTGCCCAGCAGCGCGCCTGTCAAAGGGAAGAGTCTCTTCAGAAACCTACCCGCTTGGCTTCCCTAAACTCGTGCCTGGCTTCCTGAATGGATTTTGGCCGGATCTTCGACACAGAAAAGACCCATAAAGGAATTGATGGCCGGATGATGATTGCATTTGGCCAAAATCTTCACTTCTTTCCTTGGCGCCAAAAACGTTTGTTCCAAACATCGACCACCCCGAGCAGTTGGGCAATCGCTTCTGATAACAAGAAGCTACGAACGGGGCTCCTGGCCTTACTGCTAGGAACAAGAGAGGATGCTACTCTAGGAAAAGAAAGGGCATCGCTACTGGTGAATCCTTGCATTGAATTGACAAATCCTCTTCATAGATATGGGGGGTGTATTAGCTGTATTCATACATCCTCTTCATATGGGCCATGAGCTTGGACGCTGCGGTCTCGCTACCACAAGTGGTCTCGCTACCGAGCATCGCCAGCTCCACGGCGGAGCGCAGAAAGGTCTTGACGGCCACACACGCGGGCAAACCGATTCTCCGGCCGTGGCTGGTCGCGTGAGCCATCGACATCCTCGTTGAACCGAGTCGAGCGTGGAAAAGGGATAAGAAAAAGGGATGAACAGGTAACAGGGAAGAAGAAATTGCATCCAAAACAAAACAAAATACATCAAAACATCACTTCCGTTCTTTGCGAGATGTTGAAGTCTCTTGTGAATGTGCATGCCATATGCTATATGATCCATATGCAGCATCTGCCTTGTTCTTTTCGACCTTCGGACGGAGCAGACCTTCCCACTTTTCCTCCCGCCTGGGCCAACAGGAGGCCACCTGGCTTCGTCCTGTGTGGAGCAAACGCCAGTTCTGTCCCAGGACTTCTGTGTCCCAACGTAGTGCCCCAGCTGAGGAGAGCCGAGACCTCAGACGTCAGAGTCGGTGGCGACGAGCTTAGCTCCGTAAAGAAGAAGCCATTTCCGTAGCGTCCGATCCGCTCCGTTCGTAGCGATGTGCCCTTTGTTCCCTTCGTAGCTTCTTGTTACTAGTAGTATGGCCAGGAGCTACTAGTAGCGTTCTTTTGTGATGTTTTGTGCTTGGATTTCCAACTGAGCTTTGGACAGAAACTTCGCTAACGCATCTTTTGTGCCTGTGGCATGTTTGAGACTGCCACAAATTCCAGAGAAACCAAGCTCATTGTCCAAACCAGCAAAAAAACAACACATGACGGGCAAGACTACGCTCGTCTTCATTCATTCGACGTGCTGTTCCCTCTCAAAGACCGTGGAGCTCAAACCGAGTTTTACTATCAGCATCAAGGAGCCTGTGAAGCATATGAACCATACCTGCTTGATGCCACTTTCGACACCTTCGCCTGAATCGGAAAGAACGAAGCAAAGACCGTGACGAGTGACGTAGGTGAAGCTGAAACTATGCTTTATCAAGTTAGTAGCAGGTCTCATAGAAGTGCTGAAGAGTGCTGAAGCGTTGTAAAGAAAAGAAAGCGTGCTTCTTCAAGTAGCAAAAAAAAACGAAAAAATGCAGGCCAATGAAGGAGATCGAAGGCCCTCCAAAAGTGTTTTCGCATTGAATGGTTCCCATGCAGAAAATCCTGACCTCGAACCCCTTAACCTCCAGTGGGAAGGGAACACATCTCAGGCCTTTTCAATGCATTTGGTTCAATGCATTTGTTCGCTGCTGGTGGTGTTGCAAAAAACAGGCCAAGAAGCTACTAGGTTGCAGGCCATCGCTAGTAGGGTGGAGGCCATCGCTACTAGTAACAATGCAAACAAACTCATTGTGTCATCCTTGACTCATCTGGATTGATAATTACTAAGTCTTGTTTCTACTATATAGCTTCTTGTTACTACTAGTAAGGCACTTGTTACTAGAAGCGATGCACTTGTTTCTAATAGCGAACATTGTTTCTAATTTGATAAGTTGGATGCCTGAACGGAGCGTTGGCCCTCGAGGCGCAATGGCCATGACATAGCTTCCCAGGTGCTGCAAACATGCAGGAACTGAATCCTTCGCTCACGAGGCTGACGGTTGCTTGACGAACATGGGCAGAATGGTGGTGCGAAACGAATAAAACAAAACATAAAAACAGGCAGTCAAAGCAGCTGTCATGTCAGGCGAGCTTCATAAATGATGTCTGACATGAGAAGGGGAATACGTACCGCAGGTCCGACCAGATCATGCCCTTCCACGTCGAGCAAATCCATCTTGCTGCTGCCTGCAAGTATGCCTCTTGAACACCCTCATGCCACTTCAACAGTAGCTCCAGAATTGGGAAACACATCTGCCAAGATAGTGTGTCCATTCAAAAGGGGGCAAAAGCAGGGAAACATCGCAAGACACAATTCTTACTACTAGGAGCAAGGACGCTACTAGGAGCAAGGGCATCGCTACTACGGGCTCCTGGCATCACTACTAAGAGCATTCTTACTAGTAGCAAAAAAAAAGAATAATTCACAAACTGAAATCGAACAATCTGCGGTCATACGCCACAATTCCAGGAAAGGCCAAGGCACGATGCTCAGAATGCACGGGCAAGTCTGGCCGTCCAGCTAGCATGGTGAGGCGCAGCCTGTTGCCGCTGTCTCAGCTTGACAAACATGCACTTCTCTCGAAGAAATGACGCAAAAAGAGAAGTTCCAAAAATCTGAAGGAGAAGTTGGAGAAAGAAAGATCCGTCACTGATGAAGTGGGTACTAAAGCATACTAAAACATATTAAACCCACCGGCAGAAGTCGATCCGCCTGAAGGTCAGTGCTTCCCGATAGGTCAGAAAGCCGTTGATCACATCTTCGGAGCCGCCACTGATCCACGGAGTGCCTCTCTAAGCGAACAATTTGAAGGACCGAACAACAGGAACAAAAAAGGATGTGTCTAATAGCTTCTTGTTACTACTAGTAAGGCACCTGTTACTAGTAGCGATGCACTTGTTTCTAATAGCTTCTTGTTACTAATAAGTTTATAAGGAACAAAAAAGAAGAACGCAACTTGGGGCTACGTAAGAATGCTCCGTTCGTAGCGATGTCAGGAGCCCCATTCGTTGCGTCCTTGCTCCTAGTAGCAAGGCCAGGAGCCCCTATTAGCTTCTAACATAGGAGGGAAAATAGGAGAACTCTTACAGCAATTCTTAGTAAAAGACTAAAAGAAGAAGCTACTAGCAACAAGTGCATCGCTACTAGTAACAAAGGGCATCGCTACTAGGAACAAGGACGCTACTAAAGATTAAAAGAAGAATACTTTTCGGGAATCGAGCGGACAGTGTGGTGCTAGCGGAGCCGCGGAGCCGCGGAGCGCCTGGACCATGCATGTAGTGGAGTCGGGCACCATCCCTCAACATCGAGACTCGGTCGAATTCTTTGAGAACAAAAGAGATCTTGTTCTTTTCCACGCGCGCGCGCGCGCGGGGTAGGCCTAGGCCGCTAGAGAGGTAAGTAGTAGCTAGGTGAGTAAGGAATTGAGGTAGCTAGTACCTTGCTCAAGCTACTCACTGGACGCAGGATAGCTCACGCTCGCACTATTCATTTGGTTCCTAGATTCTACGGAAACTGCGTGAAAAAGGGGAATAGCAGGGACTTGACCGAACAAGCAGTTGAAGACCGAATCAGAAAGGAAACAGAATAGAAGGATTTTAAAAAGTAAAGCACATGTGACTTTTGATGCCACGTCATCATCTGTTCTTCTCTTTTGGACTTGACGCACTCAGCCATGCCATCCCGAAGAAAACCTCCAAGGTGCATGTTCCTGCGAGTTTGCCTGTTAAACTCCAAGCGCGACCTCTGAACCCAGAAGATCTTGAGCCACATCAGCAGGCGATTCGCAGGCAATGCTGCATTCACATTGGTAAGTTGGCTTCCAAAACACATGTGAAAACCATGTGAGCACCCGCATTCACGCTACGTCACATTCTTAAATGGCAACCACAGTGTCGAAAACCTATTGGAACTGGCTTTGTAATCCTAGCATCCTTGCGCACGCGACCACAGTTTGCCTTTCGCGGGCATACACTATTTGCTCAGCCCTTTCGTGGGACCTTTCACGAAAGAAGTTAAAAAGGCGACTGTGGACACATATGTACAATAAACATGTCATCAAAAATGTTCTTTCGCCTATTCCTTACGCAGCCACGTGTTTATGATGTCTTTCGCAATAGCTTTCTCAAAGATTTCGCTTGTTGAGTTTTGCCTTTCGTCGGACAACTGCATCACACAAACTCTTCATGGAGGTTATTGACGTGGCTCACATTGAGCCACGTTTTATGGAAACAATATGTTCGCTTTCAACAAGCTGACAAGTCATGTCCAATCCTTTTTGTCCTTGGTATGCTAGAGCATTAAAAGGTTTGGTATTTTGTCTTGGACTTGTCTTCTCCTTACTGGTAGAAACAAGAATGCCTTTTTCGCACAAGAAACGAAGATTTCTTCATTTCTTCCTGCCTTTCTTCTTTCCTGTGGTTCTTTGATTCGACGTCTCCTTCCCTCACGAAGAAAGAATGACCACATCAAGTTCGCCTCCAAGTCTGCGCAAACACTGTGGCCACTAACCTGAAGCATTCGACTTGACTCAAATTGACTTCCTAATTTTGCTTTAGGCCGCTCTCTCCGCTTTTGTTCCTTTCTTTAGACCTTTCTTCCTTTGTTCTTGTTCTTGTTTCTTTGCATTTTTTCTGGCTGCTAACCTGGAACTCTTGAACCTTGAAAGTTTCGTACTTGCATTCACAAGCTCTCATGTATTGGTGGACTTGTCTTTGACACAATTGTATCCTCAAGACCAAAACATGAAAGAATTTGCTGTTGTTTATAGTGGAATTCGGGTTAAGTCCAAGAGCAGAATACCTAAGACACACTAAGACCTTTCGCCGTTCATCTGGTTCGAATGCCTTTTCGTATGAGGCGCCTCCAACGGCATCGATTTCGATGACCTCGCCAGCTTGCGCTGTCCACGTTCGGTCTGAAAAGATCTGCGAAAAGCAACTCTGCAGGCTGTGATACGACTGTGGGTCAATACCCGGGCACCCGGGTTCACCACCGAAGCTGAACAGAGTCCTCCATAAGGGAGGTCAAAGGAGGTTGACTCACAGCCGCATGACTGAGCTCAAGACTGCAATTTTTGTTGAGCGCCCATGGGAGATCCTTCAGCCTCACCTTGGCTTTGAGCGATACATCGTACGCAAGCAGAATCTTTAGGAGCAAGGACGCTACGAACGTAGCTCCTAGCCTTGCTACAAGTAACAAGGGCATCGCTACTAGGAACAAAGGACATTACTACTAGGAGCATTCTTACTACTAGGAACAAGAAGCTACTAGGAGCCATACATCTCCCTGAAAAATCTTGGAACCCACAGCGGCCCAGGTTCAGGTGCTTTTCAGGCTTGGCTCCGATTGTGAGTTGCTCCAGCGAGAACTATTGATGAAACGAAAAAAATGTCTGGCCCAACGTCTGGATTGAGGGGTCGAATTCGATTCGATTGATTAATCGAATTCCTCATCCATCCGGAAATTCTTCAACAAACGGCGCCTGCCCTCAGTCTTGACAAATGCAGCTCCCTTGGGGCATAGGACATGGGGCGACCTCAAAGACACCGTTTCCGGTGAACTGCGGGAACTCCGGCATACCACATCCACCACGTCAAATTGGTCCTCCTTGGCCATGGCAAGGCTTATGGACTGTTCCTGCTCCCACTTCGATGCTCGGGTTGGAATCATCCGAATGAAGTGGCCATGGAAGCCCTTCGTCAAGTCGACTTTCACCCCTGGCGCCGCAAATGTCCAAGTCCCAGAAGCACTGATGAAGTGTCCTCCTGAAGGAGGGGCACAGTGCCCACGGTCAATGGGTTTCGCCGAATACTCCACCAACGCGGTGCCATCCTCACAGAGCTCCAGCCGCAGTTCAGCTGGCTTCGGCCGTCTCCCACCGGGAAGGAGCCGCCCTCCCGGCCCTCCCAATGGCCCTAATGGGTCATCAAGACCGCCGTCACCTGAAGGTTCTGGGCATGTAGAAATGTCACGCTCTCAACACATGATATCTATCTATACATTATATATAGTCTAGTGTTTTCAAACACAAGCTATAGTTTCTGGTTCGGACATGTGTTCCTTAGAACAGAATTCAAGAGCCCGCACCTGCGATGGTCGTGAAATAGACGCCTGAAACGTTTTCTCTCACCAAAGAAGACAATTCCAAGGTGTCTCCCTCTGTCAAATCTGCCAAGGTAGTGCCTGCCATCACGGCTGACTCTCCAAGGAGAAAGATCCGACAACCGCCAGCAGCGGGAGCGACTCTTGCGACTTCCTCGGCCAAACGGGCAATGGTCCAAGAGCTTTCAGCGCTGATCTGGCAGAGCTCCTCGCCGCTCATGGCATTTCTCACGAAAGCTTTGATAACTTTCGAGCTCTCTTTAGAGCTCTCTTTAGTGCTCTGTTGCATCTCGCTGCTCACCTCATACCCCAGCAGTTTCTTGAGACTTTCAACTGCTGAAGGCTTTTCATTTCTTACTGCCAAGTCAAGCAAGGTGTCACCCAATTGAAACTTGAGACTATGTGATGCCACTGAGTGGTAAAAGGCCGTAGAATCGTTCGCATCATTGTAGCTATCTTTCACCTTCAGCGAAAGAATTCGCGAAACTTGCCGTGCATTCACAGATGAGGCGAGCTTCGTGATCTCTGCCCCGTCGTCTGCACTGATGGCCTTCAGGAGAAGAGCCTCTGTCTCAAGGGGCCTACCCAGCGGCACGGTTAGCGGGACGAGCCGCTTCTCGACCGTTTCCAGGATCTTTAAGGCCTCTGTCATCCCATTCCTCTTGGCCAATTCAGTGATGTTCTCTCCCAATTGAAATTGCAAGCCATAGCTGGCAATTGAGTGAAAGAATGCACTGCCATCAGAGGCATTGTTGTAAGTTGCCCTCACCTTCAAGGCAAGAAGTTCTCCTGCATATTTATGAGTCAGGCCCAAAGCGCTTGACACCTTTGTAGGGTCGTCTTCCGCCACGGCTTCTAACAAAGCCGCCTCTGCCCTTACTCGTGAGGCTCGGCTTGGCAGTATCATGGCTCACAATCTAAGACTGAACTAAGATCCAAGACGCTGAAGATGTGTGCTGGCCGAAGGCACTGGCTTCTCTGAGAACACGGAAGGAAAGGAATTGAAAAAAAAAGAAATGTAAAAGTCTAAACGTCTAAGAAAGGTAAAGAGAAAAATGACATGCATAAAACTGGTCTATATATAACTACCATCAAGCGAAAGAGAAAAACATCCTTTCGCTTGTCCTTGAGCCCTCTGTTCCCCACCTTGTGGGGCGCTCTTCGCACGGCACAAGCTGAAGCTCCATGTGAGGGATCGCCTGCACCACACTCAGAACCAACCACTCTCGGAGCTCTCCACGGTACTCCGCATCGGAGCTTTCTTGTGGGAAAACAGCGGTCTGTGGATGCTCTACTCGTCCTTTCTTGACTCAACGACTCGCAGGTAGGACCTACACACCCAATGAATTGGTTCCGGTTTAAGAGCAAAAGGAAGCATAGAACGGGTCTTCAAAGAGAGGCCCGTAGAAAGGATTTAGTAAAATAAATCAAAGGAAATACAAACAATATGAATATGAAAAGCATCGTCCATTCGGAAAGGCCGTGTTCAACAAAAAATCTCCTCCAAGTAACTTGTTCCACCCGTTTTTCCCTAAGATCTATAAACCAAATGAATAGTGCGAGCGCTTCTTCAAGGAAGCTCCCCCCGCCTTAGGGGGAGCTTCCCTGAAGAAGCGTGAGCTATCCTGCGTCCAGCAGCTAGTAGCTGTCTCTTTGTTAGCTACCACCTCTACTCGCTGCCTATCCCAAGCTTTAAACAAAATATAATCTCTTAAGAACAGTTCAATATATAAATTCATGTGTATGTGTAAGTGTATATATATAGCTTCATTCTAAAAAATGAAAAATGAAATGTCTCCACCCGTCTTCACCCTGTTTCACCCCTCTCAGACCTCGAAGTGCGCTTCTCTCGAGCTTCTTCGACACGGCGGCGGACTTCTGCCGCCAGCATGCGCATCGCTTCCTTTCAACATGTGACCAAAACACAAAAAGACATATTGTTCAAACAAATGTAAAAACAATAAAACAAATTTAGATGCTTGTCTTGTTTGATGCACTCGAGATCAAGCGAAGGAACATTCACCAATGCACTGAAAAAACATGGGAAAATCAAGAGTTCTCTGTTGAAGTGTTGAGATTCTTCGATCTGTCGATTTCGATTTCAAAGCTTTAGGGCTTGGCCTCAGCAGCTCTTCCTAGGGTGCCAGGGCTGGAAGATTCAAGGCCTGCAATCAGCACCAAGCTAAAGGCGGATCTTCCCCTTTCCATGAAGTAATGGTAACAAATCTGAACCAGCGATGTCCCTTTCAAGTGACGTCAAGATCGATGTCATGCTGCGCAGCCTTTCAGTGGCTCTGTGTCCTGCTCTGTAAAGGCAGCTAGCACCCGATCGTCGTACAGCAACTCGTGGGCGATAGTCAGGGCCTCTGGTCCGCAGAACAGTCTGCCTAGTAGTAAGACCAGCCCCTAGTAGCTTCTTGTTACTAGTAGCGATGCCAGGAGCCCCTAGTAGCGTCCTTGCTCCTAGTAGCGTCCTTGCTCCTAGTAGTAAGGCCAGGAGCCCCTAGTGAAATGCAAGGCGCGGCTTCTCACAAAAGTGGGTCAAGAATGAAACTGTCACTGCAGCTCGCGCCTTCAACTGTCGGCGGGGCACCTCTGAATTGCCCTGCAAAAGAGAGCAAGTATAACTATATATATAGGACTAATTATATGATTTGATTGGTCCACACGTGAAAGCCAATTGTTGGAGGAAAACGGTGGTGAGGGCTCTAGCAGCAGCCAGCGAAACGCACCATGTGACGCACCCTGCGAAGCACCTCAGTGCTGGACAAGGCGGCCCAAAGCATCGCTGCGCTTTGTTCAGCCTGGCGGGTCTGTAGAAAATATGTGAATGAACATATTACCAAAGGAAGGTATACTAGAGGCAAGGATGGTATATCGATGGTATATATAGATAGTGCAATATACTGTACAGCTTTACGTCAAGTCTTCTCCGCCGCTCCGAACGGCGTTTGGCGCGTCTGCTTCGTCCGACCGGTCTGGCCTCATCAGGCCGGTCCGCCACTCGTTGACAGATCTCCGTGATGCGCGGAAAGTCCACACCTGAGGCACAAGGAACAAGGACGCTACTAGGAACAAGTGCATCGCTTCTAGTAACAAGTGCCTTACTAGTAGTAACAAGGACGCTACTAGGGGCTCAGGATTGAATGAGAAATGAGAAATGAAAGAAGCTGTTGGGGTTTCATTAAGTAGTGGCTGCCTGATTACCTTATAAAGGCCCCCGAAGCAAAAAAAGGATGTCTTCTTGTGTTCCTCCGGTTTTCGTTGCATCTATGTTGGGCTTCAGCCCTTCGGAGACCGAGCGCCAGGCGGCTTGGGGGCGAAAGTGCTTCCTGCCGTCAACAAAACGACGCACGAAGGTCCATTCGGAAAAAAACCACTGAAGTCAGAAGCCAAAAACAACACAAAGACCTTGCTGCCTTGCTTCCCTGAGTCTTGTGCTTTCTCGTGGTCTTGGGTTGGCAGTTTCTTGTGGTTTCTGCGTCTCCGACCTGTAGCAGGCCAACGGCAGAAGCACGTTCCTCAGCGTCTGCAGTTTCGATCGCAGCCTGGCATGGAACAAGAGCAGACGCAAATCATGATCCGAAATCATGTCATCTCCGAAAACGGAGCCTGATGTGGATGTGTTTCATGCTTTTCTCATCTCTCGACCTGTTCTCCCACAGCACGTTCACGTCCGCTCCGTTCTCTCCGCCCTCCGCCGTTCCGCACCTTGGCGCGCGCCACCGCGGCCCGGCGCCGCGCGGCGAAGTCGCCACACAGCGCCACGAGGCGATCCATCTCCGGCACCGCCTGACCGGCCGAGGTCGGCGGGGAAGTGAGGGGCGTCCTTTCTACCGACCCACAGGGGTCGGTAGAAATAAGATGAAGTAAGTAGGACAGCAAGACATAGTGAGATTGGAATCCTTTGAAATCTGATACCTGAGTCTACAGTCTACCTGACTGAGTCTACCTGCAAACACCGCTCCACAAGGCTCGCCTCACCCAGGAAGTCCGCCAAAGCTTCGAGGCCCATGACGTGGCTGGAGGCCTTCAGATCTGCGGAACCGGCCCAGCAAGGATGCTACGAACGGGGCTCCTGGCATCACTACTAGGAGCGATCGGACGCTACTAGGAACAAGTGCATCGCTTCTAGTAACAAGTGCCTTACTAGTAGCAACAAGGACGCTACTAGGGGCTCCTGGCCTCACTACTAGGAGCAAGGACGCTACGAATCAAGGTTTTTCCACGGCGAGGTTTCTTCAAGGCTCCTCTTAGGTCATTGCAGTTTAGGTTGCCCTCAAGTTCTTCAATATCATTCATGAATAGTGTAAACTGTTGACTAAAAAGCAAAATAAAGTAAAAACAAACAATTGGATTGTAAAGTCAACAAGATGTTTTTGAAGTGTGTTGTTCTTTAGCAACGCCTCTTGTTTCCTCGATGTTCCGACCAGCAGGTCATCAGACGCCTTTCTACTTGGAAAATGTCCGCCGACCCCTGCCTAGCTGACGCCTAGGCGGGGCGGCGCCTGGGACACCGCAGGGTGGAACGGTGGCTCAACTTGCTTTCAGCCAGCGGCTGCATGCTGCCTACACGCACACCTCAGCCGGGAGGGTACACCTCAGCCGGGAGCCTTGGGACGGAGCCGCAGGCATACAGA